GAGCAAAAAGGATTTAGCCATTCAACTTGTATGGCAGTTAACGTATGCGTCTGTGGTGGAAGTGTAATTGACAAGAGAACGAGGCGGCGTTGTCGTGAGCGGAGATAAACAGTTTTTAATGGTTATTTATGCGCGTGCGCTCGATCGCAACGACCCACCTCTAAAAGGCACAAGTTGAATTAAACACTCGCCAATACAGTCAACCTTTTTACTGTTTTACTCGTTACATTGTCAGGTATGGCAGTACAATTGACCTTAGATTAGACATCCGTGATTTGATTATTTTAAGAGTTGTAATGAAAGCATGTGCTAAAAGATTGTCTTTGCCAAAATTGATAAAAAAAATATTTTTTACAATATTGTCTATACCTAACAGTGTTGTTAAAAGAAAAATCTATAGATTCGACCGCATGATAGATTCCCCTTGTCTCAGAAATCAGATGTTCCCAAACTTACAGTTATAAATCGCTTTTATCTATGAATATGAAATAAAAAATAATACATTAACAGTGAGAACGTGTCGGATTGCTACGATACAACGAGGGATCTAGCTAATTGGGCAACATTCCTCTCGCCCCGACCACTTGCAATCACAATGGGGCCCTTTCTGACGATGACGCCGCCATTTTTGGTACATTCACTAACTTTACAATTCTTTGAAAGAATTTCCGGGTTCTAGCAATAGGTCTTGGGATACGTTGGGAGTAGAAACTATTATATATACTTGATATTATGCTAATAATTTGTGTAATTTTTAGTACTAACAGTATTAAATAATTGATCGGATTGGTAATTATTACAATCAGCTGGTTTATGAAGCTGATATATTAACATGCATGTATGAAGTGCATGTATTATTGCAAAAGAGATAAAACTTTTACCACAATTTTTATTTTAACTAAATAAATTGAATAATTACCGCTAACCAATCATCATATATGTTGTATAATCACAGCTGTAGTCGACTAATCTTCAATTAGGAAGGTATACTAAAAAAACGAAGTAGCAATTAAAAGCACACCAGTAATTAAGCAAGCTCGGATAGTCAATCGCATCAGATCGCAATGAGTAGGTATCGAGCACACCGCACGCATCGATTGCATCGGGTCGACGTACCGAAGCGCGCAATAAAACGAGACGAAATAAAGCGCCTGCGCATCGTGCGGTAATCGGGTTTCTTTGATCGTGCCGCCCGCTGTTCTTTCCCCCGCCGCCCACTCTCCCCTTCGCCCTGCCCCAACGCACTTAACTACGACTTTATTATGAGTAATTTGTGACTGTTAGCGGCGCAATTACTTTGTAATTAAAATTGTACTGTGTCTTAAATGCATCTCTTTTATCGAAATATTTACCCTTTTTTGGGAAAAGTGTCTGATGTTTTTTTTAGCTCGTCATAAAGTTTATTATGTTAACTACCTACCTTTGTATTATATTATAAAATATTTCACTGATAATAGAAAACCAGCGAACTTCACAGTAGTATCCCTCTTTCCTGTTACTCATTTCCGTCCCTTTTCACGAAATAACACTCAGATTGTAGGAAAGCAACAAGAAAGGTTTTACACAGCAAAAATAAAGCAATACTAAAAATGGGCATCTGATTTAGTACTTTACTCATAAACATAACATTTCATAATACTTTTATCTCGACTAGAACCTAAACAACGTTACATAACACCTTGACACCATATATCAACCGTTTTTGCATCACCAGCGAGACGTACAATTATAGTTATTTCACTATATAATAGTCAAGGTGAGGCCGAACACAAGAAGACAGGGCCCGCGGCGCCCGCGCAGTTAAAACGGCAAAAACGAACCGAACAACTCACAAATTGCCGCCCCTAATTACCTCAGGTAGGCGGCCGCACAAAGTGTTCCTTTTTTTTTTATAAAAAGTGCTAAGTTATTCAAAACAGGTTCGGTATAGTAATAAATAAGATTCCGAGCTCCATTAGACATATAAATTAAGATTTTTACTTCACATTTACAAAAAAAAAGAACGAAAAATCGATCAATTTTTTGAGAAATTTACTACCTATAAGTCTTGTAAACTATTGTTCAATGAAATTTATTATTCAGGAAACTTCTTAATAGCGAACAAACACATAAATTAATGTCAATAACAGTGAATCAGATAATTATAATTATAAAACAGATGAGTTAGCCATCAAAACCGATGTCAAGGACAAAAATATCGAGTATAACAACAACGAAAGAGGATTTAACATTATTAAAAACCTTATTTTGTCCGTGAGACACCGGGTCTTTTGTGTTCGTGTATTATACTTACATACCTGCGCTAATGATAGGGTGCCCGTTCAAAGAATAATTCCGGGGACTTCTCAATAACACCTTACAGCTGTACCTGGTATCTTCGCCCATCCCCGGAGATCGGTATACGAGCGTAATTTGAACACACAAAGACGCCGGCACATGTAAGGAAATAGGTTACAAACTTGCGTACAATACGCCTTATCTTTCTTCAAAAATGGTTTAATGTTTTATTGTTATACTGTTACAGGGTTAAAAATACTACATTGGTTCATAAAAACGGTTTATGAATGTTTAAAAAAGGCACCTATTGTTTTAATTGTTCTCTTTGGGAGCCTTTGTCCGATTTGTTTTGAGGCGTTCCACATACCACACTCCCGATTTCTGTAAACAAATCTTTCACGTAGATAACAAATTGCAACACAGTCTATCATAAACTCTACGAATAATGTTCGTATTTAGAGTTAGAATAGATTGTTAGTACAACGCGGTGTTAAAAGCTTGAGGTAAGGTGTGGGTGCCTCAAAATTGGCTCATTACCACCTTCCAGAGAGTTAAAAGCCGTTTTTTTGTTAGCCTTGGATGTGTGTTTGTTTGGGATTCGGTATTTGAACATATAAAAAATGGATAGGAAATTGGATCTGTTAATTTTAAACGTGAAGTTGTTTGTTGAACACATTTACAAAAATATCTTGCGTTAAATACGTAACAGTCGTCATTATTGTTCATTTTAGTTTTTTTGAATTTTGTAGCGAAGATAGAACGATAAGTAACAAATTATCATTCCAGAAATGTGACTTTAATTGCCTAATCTTATAGGTGAATGTCCGTTAGCAAAACGAAGAACTTCGTGAATGGACCGGCCCACTTCAGCCCGACTAGATTTTAGTCGCGATATAGAAGAAGTTATGTTAGACTTGACGGGATTCTAGAAAACACTTGATTGACGACTCCGAAATAAAAAAAATAGAGCTGCAAAACCGACATACATTCCTCAAACGATAAAATACTTAAAACTGACGTTCCGTGATAGATAGTAACTGTTCTAAGTAGATTGTTTTATAGAGATAAGGATAAAAAACGACCGCCAAATTAACAATGCTTATAACACCATTAAATTAGCCGATAACTGGTACTGGTAATATTTATTTATTTATAGATTGATGTTATTAAGAGAGAGTATTTAATCGTGTATAATTTATAAGCAATATGCAATATTAGTTACTGTTATAGATAATTATCAATATTGAACGTCGGATATCGATGCTGATTGTAATCAGCAAGATTGTTTTTTAAAAGAGATGATTGGAGTAAAAAGAAAAACATTGGCAATTAAAATGATGAATGAAACATCAATAATTTATATTTTATTAAGAAAGCAAGTAGTCAGCGCCAAAAACCTTACCTCTTATTCATGTTTAAAGACTCTTTGGACACGAGTATTTTTATGAAGTTCGCAAACAAAAATAATTTGTGAACAAAACGCCAATGTCTTGTTATATCAGTTTAGCGAATTTCAAATATAACTAAAGATATCAGATATATAGAATTTAAAAGTGATGCCGCCGATAAAGTGGCATTAACCGATACACATCGGCACTTAAGGCAAAGATAGCAACGATTCGATAAGGGATATAAATAAAAATAAATGGTTACTCTTGCGTTATGCCGTTGTAAAGATATGAATATCGACACACGCGATAGTAAACCATGAAAGTGCCGGCTCTGTGTTTATTGATTTAATGTACCACACTAACGATATTATTCCTGTGTCAATTGCCAATATCGAATAAATTTACAACCCTAAAAGCGTTATCGAATCACGTGGGGGCCGATTACCTTATCTGTTCTCAGCGCAGCTTCAATTCCTAAATAGATATTTCTAATTACTACAGGATGTTCACTACTCAGTAAATTGTTGTTTTTTGAGCAGTTAATCAACATGTATATGTACAGACAGGTGTAGTGAGTGGCCTAGAGCTGAGAGGCCAGCGGCGGCGGCATTCAAGATCGTGTCTTTGATGTGCCGCTGATAACAGAGGCTATTTGCTGGTTGTTATCGCTCACGTCTGTCGTTCGACGCCCACACATTATTATTTATCACGTAAACAATGCCGAATACTTTATATGGAACAAAAATTAGATTATCAAGTCGCATTTATGATTTTTTTACAACTACGAGTATAACAATTTGTTTATGCCATGTCATAAAGTCCTAAAAATTTATGGTTTTAAAAAAAAATACAGTTCAAATCTGTTAGTTTGACATTGTCAAAAATAATTTGAATATGGAATATCATTCCCGTGAATAACAAGAGTTTGATAATTTGACAATTCTTTGGACAACCCCTCGCGAATATGTGGTGACTGAACCCTAGGGAAACACGATCAGTATCCATTACAAGCCACTGAGTCTATTCAGCAAAGAATCGTAAATCAAATGACAACAAAAACTGTCTTCTCGTATGACAAAAACGTCTATGAGTTAGCCAGTCACTCTATGTTTGAAAAGGCAGTTAAATATTTCAACGAATGCTTTGAGCTAATAGAGTTAATAATTTCGATGAAGATACCGCTACAAAATTGCTAAGTTAGTTTTTCTCATTAAACTTTTATAGTCTGTGTTTATTCTCTTTTAAAACTGCACGAGTCTATAGTTTTGATAAATTTTCAAAACTTAATCCTGAAACTAGTTTAACGTATAGTTAAATAGCATTTTCTCTTACCGCTTCTTCAGCTTCCTTTTGATCTTTATGTCCCATTAAGTTCGGCATCGCAGTCCAATTGTATCCCAAATCCTGGCATAGTGGTAGCTTGATCCTCTCACACTTGCCACCTTCTTCCTGGTCAGCAGACACCAGCCACACAAACAGGAGAAAACAAAAAATCCGAGCCATCGTGTGGTATTCACAATATCAATATCACTAAGTAGTAATATAAGGTCATATTAAAAAAAAAGTCAGTCACAAAATCACTGTTAGTAAACACTGGTGAATCGTAAACATTATTTTACTTTTTTATGTCCAAGCGCACGTCCTCAACCGTCCACAGTTCGACGCAAACTGATTCAAATTTCGAACGCGGCGCGGCGTTTCAATTCAAAGGCAAAAGAACGAAACCGGTCGACCGGTGCATTCAGAAACATGCATATGTTTCGATAAAAGGTCTGAACGCATGAACAGGGCATTAAGATGAAAAGAAAAAAAAACGAAAAGGGCCTAATTCGTGTACGGCTCACTGCAATCAGTGGGAGTAATTTTAGCCGTCCTTGTCTTCGTTTGACGATGGAGAGAGATGGCGAGAATAATGAAGAACGTATAAAATTAAGTGTATCTGCCCATGAGGTTGGATTTTATTTTACGAAATTGCTGCAATAAAAGTGTTGGATAATTGAGAGGTTCAAACATTTTATTATAAAGTTTGGACTTTATACTACGTTGTGGGTATCTGTAACTTGGTGTACAGAGTGTATTACTAATCAAACCTTTCTAAATTATGCCTATAGTTACCTTGAAGGCGGTTTTATTGCTACGTAAGTTAAGTTTTAATCAAAAAGAAATGTGGCCTCGGAGTAATTTATAATGCATAATTTATTTACCGAGGACAGGCCATTAGCTGCCTCCTGCTGTTATGTTGTTCTAACATATTGTTCTAGTTTAATTTGAGAGTGCCCTACACTTGTTAACTGTTTTTTTACATAACAATTTTATTTTGCATCATTTTTTTTACTTTTCATATGCGATCTTCTATGTATTTTTTTAAAGCATTACTCATTATACATAGAGAGCACCTACCTACTTAGACAGAGCTTTTATACATACCTACTTAAAGTCTTGAAATATAAAGCTATATCTGAATAGGTAAGTACAATGTTTGTTTGAAATCGTAAGAGCCGTTTATGTGATACAAGAAATTCAGTCATTAATTAAGAAAAAAGAAACATATAGGTATTTCAAAAATTTATGTAATTAAAGAATTAGGATTTGCAATCCAACGTAGCAATGCTGCCAGTCTTCTGGGAACGCTACCAGGAGGCGATGATGAGGAGCGTAGAGGACGTCGGCGACCATACCAGCCGCCGACGGGGCCGCGGGCCGCCAGAGAGTGGGGACCTTTGGTCGCAGATAGAATGTTGCGGTAGGGGATAGGATTGCGGCCTGATTGCATTAAGACGAAATTGGGCCGCCACGTCGCGATTGAGGGGGAAAGTGATTTTCCCCTGGGATAGGGCCTGACTAGGCATGGTGTCAATTCGGGGAGGACCTGAAATAACATGGTCCAGGTCCTCCCAGAGTAGGGCACCTGAGGCCGGCCGTCGGGGTGGTTTTTAGTGGAATCACCACATACTCCTAGCCCCGAGGAGCAGGAGATCCGAAGGGATTTTCCACCCCGTCAAAAAGAAAAATGGCGATGATGCGGAGGATTTTTTAAATAGTGTAAATATTTTAATTGTATTATAATATTTTTTAAATACTATTAAAATATTTATTCGTCCGTCTATTCATCCCGTGGGTGTCGTAAGAGCCGACTAATAAAAAAAAACTACGCAGAACAACAGCACTGCAGAGAGAAGGAAAACTTGACACAAACCCTATACCAACCCGTCTGGCCAGCGTGGTATAGTAGGCCAAAACCTCCTTTCTAAGGAGAGGCCTATGTCCAGCAGTGGACTGTTAAAGGCTGTTGATGATGATGATGATGAATATAATATTTTTTTAGTTCATTTACAAGTCTGTTAATAATTATGTAACCTTGATATTTTAAATTAAATATATTAAAGTTATTAGTTTATATAGATTGGTAGACAATTAGACTAGCAATAGTAAAATTTTAATAAATTTGGTAAATAAAACACAGTTCGCACTACATTTCCTATCGACCCCTTCAAATAAATAAATTGCTTGTGTGTATCGGGTGGGAATCGAAACCGTACCATTAGATGGCATTTCTGACGCCTTATCTAATTTATTAGATTACTGCAATATATTTTGATTACAGTATAGACTAGTATTAAAGCGGTAATCAGTATTAATTAAGGTGATAAACAAATTTCAGGTGAATTGCCTTGACGATTAGACAAGCGGACTTAGAAGAGAGTATTAGAACTAGGGAGATAGAAGAATAAGAATAATAGGAGATAATAATTTTCATCCCCATCATTAGGATAATATGTTTTAAGTGGTAAAGTGGTTTAAGCGGTCGCCACGCCGCTTCCTACTAGGCTGAGTGTTGTGAGCTCGATACCCACATGGGACAACACTTTGTGTGATCCACAAATTGTTGCCCTGAGTCTGGGTGTTCTTTGCGTTGGTTTCATGTTTGTTTGTAAAGTCCCCTGCGACACAGGATATACATATTTCTAGTGCAGAAGTTCTCTTTAAAAATAAAAGAAATTGACACTCCACTACTGTGCGCTTTTCGAGACACTTTTTGCGTCGCACAACCAATCTGTGGAACAAGTCATCGACGAAACGACCTTCAAACCTTCAGGCTGCAGGTGGAGTTGCAGGTGTTCATGGGCTTCGGTAGTCACTTACCATCAGGTGACCCGCCGGCTCGTATGCCTCTACCATAAAAAAAAGAAAAAATGGCTTGTAAATTCTAAAAGACATTTTACTTAAATGTGAAAGTTTGTGACGATTTGATTGCCTATACCTTCCATAGATGGGACGTATATGTATATGAATGCTTGTTACTCAATATTGTTGATTCCTAGAATTAAATTATTTCGCCCGAAGCATTAAATTAACCGTAATTTAACATCTTAAGTACAGCCTGATTTGCACTCCATTATCAATTTAATGTTATCATTGTTTTTATATTTTCAAATCGTAATTTAAAAAAATGATTTGATTAGGTAAGACGTCACACCATAGAATTTAATACAAAAATGTACCGCGTCTGTCATTTTGACGTTTATTAAAAAGATACCGATTTGATTTAATATTCATCTACCTTAGTACAACAAGCCGTTTCTTCTCTATTTTCAGTTGTACTATTTAAATATTTCGACCTAAGACCACCACTCAGGGTTGAAGCTAGCTACATATCCTGAAGATAAATTAAAAGATTTGAAAGAAGAGAATGGGTGCAGAAGTTTTTGGGATACACACAAACAAACAAACATACCTCAATACGAATAAATATATTTTAAGTTCTAATTAACGCCTATTATAATTAACGACTCAACTAATAATGGCATACTCATTATAAACTGCAATTTTTATTAGAGTTTACGATTACGTATATCTTAATAAGTCTGAAGTAAATAGCTTAACAGCAAAGGTAGATATTACTACCCTGTACTCTTTTATCTTCAAAGTCCGACGTGCCAAGCAGAATACACAATTAGGTCCCTTCATTACATCACTCTAATAACACCTTTGAAATTTCCATACCAAAAACTAATATTCAACCTTATCAGAATCGCTTAAAGCTTAAATTTCAATAACAGTTTTGGTATCTTCTTAACATATCAGCACCAATATAAATTGACCCTTCACAGTAAGAGCCATTGTTTGATATTGAAAGAGAAGTAAGGATCAGCTTTTGTTGGACGTATAACATGAATAGTTGCATTGTGTGAGCGAGATGGCGCGAGGCGGTGTCAAAGGCGCCGCCTGCACGGTGCGCGTACGCCGGCCGGACGACGCCGGAATGCCTAATTAAGGACGCATGCGTGGACTGTAGGGTGAGGCACGAGGCCTCATTGTGAGCGGGGCACAACAGTAATTAAATACAGTACTGTCCGTGTGGTAACGGAATAAGAACACGGAGTGTTATCATCCCTATCCATCCCGTAGGTGTCGTAAGAGCCGCCTAAGAGAGTAAACAGGCAATAGCACTGGAGAGAGAAGGAAAACTTGAAACAAACCCTATACCAACCCGTCTAGCCAGCGTGGTATAGTAGGCCGAAACCTCTTTTCTAAGGAGGAGTCTATGTCCAGCAGTGGACTATTAAAGGCTGTTAATGATAATGATTGATGAAATGAAATATGTATTTAACATTTACTTTTATAAATAATGTTAAGAGAATCAATGAATGAAGGAATAAAGAAATAACAAGCGTTAGGCGTCATAATCAGTAATTATATTTTTATTTATCATATAGGGGGCAGTTGTACAGACAAACCACGTGTTCAATCTAAGTGAAATCGACCTCTTGTAGATTACATATAAATATCCACCCGAAACATGACATGTATGCTGTAAGCGTATACTGTTAGTTTTGGAAGGGAGATATGGGTTTAGCACCACCACACCAGATGGCAGCACAATAATTTATTGTTGGTAAATAATATTAAATTATTATCTGCCCGTTGACAACCAGGATTGGATAGCTCCAAATTCAGCAAACCAAAATTGTGAACTATATGAAGGCTTTCATTCTAACCCTCAACTAAGACAAAAGTAGAAAAGAAAGAGAAGACGGTCATGAAATCTTAGATTAGGCAGTAAGTGATTACCGGAGCTACAGTCTGCCCTTTTATAATAATGAAACATTAGCATGTCACACTATTCAAAACCCATCCGTTTAATTTCATTGATTCCCAGTGACTCTACTTCTCACCAGAAACATAGCATTGCGTTCTGAAGCCTACTTGAACTTTACTTCTACAACTTCTTTCCACAAATAGCGTATTTTACTTTATCATATGTTCCCAAGCATTCCTTTGCCTTTAAAGATACATCACCACTTTCCTCAGTCTCTCAGCTTTTTAAAATTAAACCTGCAAATCTATATTAAATTGCTATATCAAAGATTTTCAGATGTCGAAATGATAAGTTCGCTGTCAGTGCGACCACACCACACCCGCATACAGCCCGGAATCGTAATTAAAATGTCAGATATGGCTGGCTCGATGCCGATCAACGCAAATGCAAATATCACCCAATT